AAATAAGATGTGCTTTTTGCTGTTACATTTAGCATCATTTGCAGTAAATTACCTGCGACAAGCCTTCGGACCTCATGTTCGCCTCACTGGCACACTCTCTCTGACTGAGTCACCAGACTGGTTGTCATGTTGCGAGGATGGCGATTAATTGCAAACCTTCGCCGAGCTCTTTGAGACGGTTGCTTCTCTCTTCTGCAACCTCTCAGAACTCTAAACTTTTGGGCAACCAAAAAGTGAATACAATCACTCTCCAGCTACCAGTTTTTCCTGCTTTAGTGCGACTGAAGGCTAAGGTGTCCCTTGCATGAACGTCTGTCACAACCCTGTGCAGGATATTAAAGAAGCCCGGCGCATGAAAGTGCCAGATTAAAGTTAAAGTCTCAAATTAGAGAACAGATTATTCTCGTCTGGACGGAAAGTTGTTGAATTAAGTGCATCTGCCTTTGTGGCAGCGAAGCCTGTAAATGTCTGCTGTGCAGCACTTTGATTGGCGTCTTTAATGACTGGCTTATAAACAACCTGACGTGGCTTAGCAAAGACAGAAACACTAAATGGGGGTTTATCGGCTAACCGAACCTTCTTGCTTCTTAGAACTCTCTGCAGGGCTTCTTCTTCGACTTGGTTGGGAAGCAAGCGTTCGACATCATCATCATGGTGCTGATCCTCTTCAACATGATCACCATGATGGTGGAGACGGACGAGCAGCCGCCTCAGATGGAGAAGATCCTGAACAACATCAACCTGGCCTTCATCATCATCTTCACTGCTGAGTGCCTGATCAAGATCATGGCGCTGCGTTGCTACTTCTTCACCGTTGGCTGGAACATCTTCGACTTCGTGGTGGTCATTCTCTCCATCGTGGGTGAGTTCGGCTTCAAAACGATTTTGAGCCAGATTTACTAAACGGGGTAAAAAGCAGACGGTCACCAAATCCATAAACAGTGCTCACAGGTGCGGTTAGTTTTTAATAACAGAAAGAAAAAAAGAGCAGTGTCTTGTAAGTGCAGAGTATTTCAAACACAGACACAAATCAAAGTATAAACCAAAGCTTCCTAGAAAGTTGTACATT